GTGTGTGTGTGTGTGTGTGTGTGTGTGTGTGTGTGTGTGTGTGTGTGTGTGTGTGTGCATAAACACACACGAGTTTGTCCAGCTTCTCCCTGAGAGGAAGCAGAAGCTTTCAGTCTCCACAGGTAAGCTGCTGATCCGTGAGTGTGTGTCACTTTGAGGCGTGTGTGAATGTGTGTTTCTGCCTGTGTGGTTTGTATCAGTGCAGGTGACCATGTGTGTGTGTGTGTGTTTGTGTCGGAAGCGTTAACGTTCACAGTCTCAGTAGGTAAGCTGTTGATCTGAGTTCTCAGAGTTTTCCTGCACCATCTGTGGTCCATACAGCCAAGCACCAACACAAATGTTCACACTCCCTGCAGGAGCGTCACATGACTGCAGGCTACCTCCTTTACAGCGCCGCAAAAGACTTGCCAGCATTACGGTAAACAAACTGTGAGATTTCTATATGTGCAGGAGTAAATATGTGTGTCTCTTGGCTGCTGTCTCATCATCCAAGCCAAAGAAATCGGTTTCTCTCACAGGCGGCCCAGAACGAGCTGGTTCCCAGCCAGATTACTGACGTCTTTTGCAAGGCGACCCTTTTTGTTTCTTTTCTAGTCCTCGTCACGATGCTGCCACTGTTGCTCTGGTGTTTCTGCTAATTGTGCCGAGTACAGTGTGTACAAACATTTTTGTTTTCAGTTTTTTTATTATTATTGCCAGGTTTAATCAGAAATACCACTGCAGCTAGAAACGTCACATCTTTTAGGCCCAAAAGGCATCATTTTGAGCTCACGAAACAGTGGTGCCACCAGGTGCATCCGCTCACAGATGACGTATTTATCCTGCGAAATAATGCATTTGACTGTGTTGCAAGATAACTTCAGGAGCACGATAAGTTTATTCCCCAAATCACAACCTTTGCACCAAGTCCTTCAAGTTCAGCATGATAAATGTTTGGGTAAATTGCTATAAGAACTGTGCAATGTTGCGAAATCAGCATGAATCCAGATCCATATGGAGCATTTCTAACACTGTGCTGAGTCTGCTGAAACCTCTGCAAACATATTTCAGGAGTAACGTGGTGACTTTTAAGATTAAATGCATATTATCACACCTCAGACAGAAGTTTTTTTGGATTAGAGAAGTGAATGTTTAAAAGCTGTGCAAAGGGGAGGAGGTCTGTGCCGTGCACACAGCGGGGTGGGGGTGTTATGTGAATTATTAAAGTTGCCAATTAGACCAGCTGACATTTAGATCAAAAAGTACTATGACACTGGCTCTAAGTACGCTCTTTCTTCCACCTCTTTCCTCATGCACATAAAAAAGCTGCACAGACAATCTGCACCCTTCTGGGCACCAAAGGTAGCAAATAATGGGCCAAACCAAGTGGACTGAAAACAGTAGGGGACACTGGATGAATGGCAAGTTACATTTCAATCCTGACATTTCACATAATTGGCTGAAGGAAGTGGCTCTACTCTCCTGTTTATCAAGATTCTATAGTTTGTAGCAAACAGGTAAAATCTGAATTTGTTTCCTGGTTTTATTAGCTCAAGTTGAGTCATAAACAGGTAATKAAGCCAGTCTAAAACAGTTTTTTAACCATTTAGTAATAAAAATACAAATTATCCTATTGAATTATAATAAATATGTATTAAACTGCTGATCATTAGCAGTGTCTTGAGGTAAATATTGTATTGTTTAAACCAAAAGGTATCAATGACTGATTTCCAGGAAAAAAATGTGAAAAAACACCAAACTTTCACTTTAAAAACAAGATTTTGCCTCTGAATGTAAATTACATAATTACCTTAGCTTTAAACTGAGAGTAGCACTTACCGTGGGGGTGAGTCAGGGTACAGGTTGCTAATTTGAGACAGATTTTCTCTAAACGAGTCAAAGTCTAAACCAGGAGGAAAGTCTTCTATGCAGCTAGACCTCAGTTCTCCTGCGGAACCTCCGTAGGAAAAACCATCTGGTCCTGGAGACACAGTTATCACAGTGAGTATGGTGCAAGTTTTGTGCTTTCTTTTTTAAAATGATTTCTATGAAATGTAAAAATKAAACACATTCAGGAGCTGTTCAGCCATCTGCTTCATTATTTAAAAAGTTGGATGATGAACAGGAACGTYGGAGACTGACCATAGCTGGCACGGAAGTGTGGGTTTCGGAGTCGGCTGTCTTTGCGCAGGCTGCCGATGATGATGGTGACGCAGGAGAGGAAAAGGACGAGACCTATAACGATCCCGGCCACCACCAGCGGAGACACCAGGAGAGATGCCTCCCCAACTGATTCCCTCTCACCCCGACAGTCTGGGTACTCCCCATGGCTCTGGTTGGAGCTCACTGCAGGGAGGCAGACCGAGAGGGAGAACATGTAGTTTGCTTAAACACTCAGAGGAGATTAGGATACAACCATTCATAGTAATATTACAGTTGTCTGTTAATGCACAGATGTAACAAAACATGTCTGAGTCAAGGTATACTGAAACTACACACAAACAACCATTAACTTTTATAATTGCTCTTGAATATCATCACTTTTAGGCATCAATTAATTATGTTTTTTATCAAGAAGCTTTTATACGTAAACTTGTGAGATACAGCTTCCTATTTTATTCATTTCTCACACAAACAAAAAGGATATAACCCCGCAAAATTTAACAGAAGAGGTTTCCCTTTTAATCAGGTTATTTAGAAAAAAAATTGTATTTAAAAATTGAGATGTTTATTGTAGTTTTTCGAAGTCAATGCGTAAATAATTTATATTGATTTTTTAACTTTTTAGTTATATATTTTAAAAGCCAAGCAGGTTTGGTAGCTTTAAAATAATTTTATTTAATATGAAGATTAAAAATGTCTCCTCTTGATATTAAAATTTACTTAAGGAGGATTAGGTTCAGTTCATCACAAAGTTAAGACATGTCGAATTGTAAATATGGCTCTGATATGAATTTAGAAAAGCTATAGGGTCCCCATCATGAATTGAGTTGACTCCAAGAGTTAACATGGTGTAAATGTACATCCAGTGGTTGTAACAGTTATTTCTAAAATTTAAAATAAAGATGTTTAAGTTGGTGCTCAAAGTAAAAGTTGAGGATGATTCTCAGCTACTACCAAACCAGATTCCAGCTCAGTATTTGTAAAATTGGTTATCGCTAATTTTGTTTTTGCTAAATCCAATTATCTGTGGCCACCATTTTGAAAAGGGTGACTCTAGAAGCTAACGTTGACGTGCAGACAGTGTTTCTGAGGGTTTCAATAAAAATGGAGATATTTTGCTAACTGTCAGACAAACAAACCCACAAACACAGGCAATTACATGATTGCCTGATTTTCATGGCAGCAAGCAATTTAAAAAGATGGCTTTCAGTTTGAATACCATCAATAACTTTTCTTTAATTTGTAAGATGCACAATTAACTAAACKGAATCAATATTCAATCAATATTTTCCTGCAGGCATGTTTGGAACATTCCTCTAGTTTTGCTTGCGTTCGACAAATTAGATTTAGTGTCAGGATTGCAAAATCTGTTGCAAAATTCATTATTTCGCTGCTAACGATGTCATCTCAAACTGCAACAGTACTATAACAATATTGAATTATTAACTGCAGTTTTCTCATGCACACATTGTGCCGTCTCTTTATGCTCTCCTCCTCCTCCTCTCCCGCTCCCTCTCCCTGAAGACTTATTCCATTTCAGAGTGTGACAGATAATTAGAGCCAGAGCCTGCGCACACAGTCATCATTATCATTAGATTACAGAACAATCCTGTTCCTTTCCATTTCTGTTTAGTGTCTCATCTGTCTGTTTGCTCTGCCTGTCCAACCTCTGTCTGCCTTTCTGGCAAAGCRCTTATTTGTCTGACTGCCGGTCGCTTTAAATCAGTCTCTGAGCGCTCGTGTCAGGGTTTAACGAATAAAACGCTGTCTTCTGCCGTTGTTTTGTTCTTACTGCAAACAAAGATGTTAAGTTGTGAAGGTATAGCATTTATTTTGTTCCCTTTTTCATGTAATTTTTTTTATTAGTCAGAGTTGATTGGAAAACAAAATATTTTAAACCTGTTGTGTAGCGTTTTGGACACAAATTTGACTTAAACAAACAGGTTTAGTCAGAAAATATATATACACACTTTTTTATGAATCTTTGTCTTTTATCAATAAAAGACAAACCATTTTCCAAAATGAGCAAAATATGTTTGTATGAAATTAATGCAACAAAATGTTTATCTGCTGTTTTTCTCTGCGCTGAATCTGAAGCAGAAAATAAATCAAAATCTCGACCAGTTTTAAACTCACAACATAATTTTCATTCCAGTTTCTGTGCTCCCTCTTCATTTTGCCACCTCCTCTCCTGGACGGCAGTCTTTGAAATCGTGTTGTCTATAATAATTTGGTTTCACACGGATTCTCCAGAAGAGTGAAATGTTCTCTCATCCAAATGATTCTCACTAGACATCTTTACTCTCTTCATAACGTCTCCTCTCTCTCACACACACACTGCGTCTTCTTTTTCTGTCTTTCCTAATATGATTTTCTCTTCATTTCACTTCTCATCTATTCCTCGTTAAACTTCATTTTCATCCATCATYCCCAAGAGAGAACTAGCACGGAAATTTTTAAGTGTGTACGTTTTAGATTGCTATAAACCTCTGTGCCATTGTTTACACAGTGAGGGATCCATAAACATAAACACAGCAGGTTGTTCTTAGGCAAAAGCTGCAGGCATCGCTTTAGGAAGCGTTGCAAAGCTGTTTCACTCAACAACACAAWGCTAAACGGGCGGGGTTGTGCTTTAACCAAGCCATTCACAGACTGGGCAGGGGGGCCGAAGAAAGCTGGTGCTTTGGTGAAAAAAGGAGAWGGGGTTATCTGCGGAATCAAAGTGGGCGTGTCACAAGAGTGGGCGTGTCTAAAGCATAAACACTGTGGGCTACGAGGCCTACATGACGGTATCCTTAGACACTGCTTGACCTCTATACAGCCTGACCCTGACCCMAACACTAAGGTTAACCAGAAGAAATGTGACTCAAGTAGGGGTCTCCAGAAAAAGTGGTGCCGTACAGTAACGCCCCTTTTTTTACTTGTCCAGTCAGGTGTGTCCCTTTYAAAAARGTCMGTCAAATCAGGTGTGTCRCTTTAGAATCGCCTTTCGTTGGGACACACCCAGTCGTCTGCAGAGACYCCTACTTGGAAAAAAGGGTGGCGGTTGTGGTGGCGAGTGGGAAGGACCAGCTTTGTGGAACTGAAAATCCTGAACTGAACCTGAATTTCTCGTTAAACAGCTACTTGTTTCTAAAMTCTTGTTTCTGTTATTGTTGAGGACCTAAAAATACTGAACATGTTAAAACTTAAGGCAGAAGGCCACACCACTTCAGTCAGCGAATGATGAGAARCTGACCCTACAGTTTGCTCAGGTTTACCAAGAGGCTGAGAAACCATTGCCTGGTCTGCTGAGACTCGAGTCACATGCTGGAGTACATTTACTTGAGTACTGTACTTAAGTACATTTTTTTTTGTATCTTTACTTGAGTAATTATTTTTTGGGAACTTATGACTTTCACTCTACTACATTTCAAAGACAAATTTTGTTTTTTTTTTTGACTCCATTACATTTCTAGGAAGCCTGTAGTAACTTGTAACTTTTGGCTCAGCGTAGCTTTGTAATCTGCTGTTGCTGTTTTTCTTTCTTGAAAAGCTATTGGCCACACACTATGTTCCTCACAAGGGGAACCAATCATAGTTGTAGCTCACACCTGGGATGGATTTGGAATTAAATAATCTTCATTAACTGTTGCGAGCTGAGCTCCACCTTCATTTCAAACAGAACCCAGCAATGGAAACAGCTGAAGAAAGTCGAGAAACCAGCGCACCCAGGACTATATCTCAACACGATGTTTGAGATTTTAGGACTGAAAAATACTTTGTATCATTAAAGGTACAGTGTATAGGATTTGTTGTTTTCAGCGACATCTAGT